GTAATGCGAAATAAATGTATGTTTTCAGGTTACTAGTAAAAATCAAAATATTATTTTATTTTCTTATTGTCCTTCTCTTGTTCTGGGCTCTCAACAGGCTTGTACGAGGGCTTGTATCTAATTACAGACTGACCCGCACAATGATTTTTAGAGGGGCCCCTGCAGAAGGTCTTAAGTTGTTCAATACTACTCCGGTAGAATAGAATAACAAATTTGCGACCAATAAGACAGGAAACATGTGATGTATGGACTAAAGTACGGTCACCACATATAGAGTAAACCTAAACCAAAGTATACTCGAGAGTATACTGGTGATACATAAACTACACATGAAATAAAAGTAACGGGCTAACTTTTAAGCATTGAGCGAGTCCAATTGGTTATAAAACAACAAATAATTAGCAAAAAATGGTTAACGAAACAGTAATCCACATAAAAATTAATTATAAAATTATAAAACGCAATTAATAAATACACACCGTAACATTTGTTGTGCTTAATATCACCGACTATATAATTCTACGAACCGCGCATAATATAGTACACAATAGCCAAAGTATAGGAAAAATAAAACACAGTTTCACAACTGAATATAGTACACACAATGCGCCAAAGTATACGGAAAACACGTCGGAATCACAACTGAATCCAACAATTGCGCCAAGTTAAATTTTAATGATGATGATGATATTTCAATATCGAGTTCTTTATCGGAATTCTACTGGAATGAATTTTTCAATTACAATTTGAAAAGTTTTCTTTAATTTAGAGAATTAGTAAAGTTAGCATGAGAGTATTCGGTAATCGATACCCTATTATAACTGTAATTTAAAATGTTCATAAGTAAGAGTGATAGTTGTGTTCTTAAAAATTAATAATCAAATTTCCGATAGTCAGTTTAGAAAAACATGCCCTATAATTACTGATATGTTCTTTTATCTTGTATATTACTTACGATTCTTTGTTGTGTTGCAATTTTAAATTTCTTGATTTTTGGTTATAATTTTACTTACTTCAAACAGTTCCGCCAATTTTGATATGAGTGACACCGTTCGTTTCTTCATTTCAGTATATAGAGATACATATTGTATTTCGTTTACGGGTTGCTTCTAGAGTTTTTTCTTCCCGTTTCAAATATTAACTCCTCGATTAACTGTATATAATGATTCCACCGAGCCATTGACACAATAAAAAATTGTGAAACGCCACTTGGGGGTTTTCTAATGTAAAAATCAATTCCTTGCCATCCCCCCCCCCCTTTCCACAACATCCATTATGTCAAAAATTTTTAATGGAAATAGTTGTCGAGTGACACCCGAGGTGACGAAAGGTTTTTTAATTCTGTATCCAACCCCGTAACATTTTTTACCTACAAAATACAAAATCAGGAAGAGGGAGAGGAAGTTACTTTATAAATCGTCCGGTAGTTGTAAATTTTTGATTGTTGTCTAGCATGGTTAGTAAGAGTTTGAAGTCCTTAGTCCTCTTTTCTTCGCGAATCAGGAGATTTCATTCTACTGTGTCAATTGTCGGTGAGTATTTTATATGCTCTATTTTGAAACGCACCGTCGTTTCTTTGGGAGTGTCGACACTCAGAATATCTTCCCCTCGATCTTCCCCGAACTTGTCCGGTGCTGGGATTTAATTATTCTGATAGTCACCCTTGCTGCGACATTTCAAAGAATCAATATACACGGTGTCCATTTTTCGAGTGCCACTATGGGGATCTCACTTATTTAAGAGATAGAAAGTTGGTTAAATGGGGGCAAAGTTGCCAATTTTCGTGCCGAATAAGAATCTGAAAAGAAATTTGAAATATCTTCAATAGTTTTGAAGATATCGCAAAAAAAACGGAAATTTCGGATTTTTGTTTTTAATTTTTTTATGATAAACTAATCGTAGTAGACATTTCTAATTAACACATTATTCGGACACTTTTTAATGGAGGTTTCAAATATGGCATCCTGTTTTTAATAACTTTCAAGATGACGGAGAAACGCGTGGAAACTTTAGTTTTTCTTATGGGCGCCATTTTGAATTTTCACATTTTGAGATTACGTCTTTTTTTCTCTTTACAACGATATATCACACATGGTGGTTCAGTATCACATTTTTCCTAAAAATACAATTTTTAATTTTTTGAGAAGAGTGCTTTGTAAAAAGAAAACGTTCATTTGTTGTGAACAAATGTTTGACAGTTTGATCCATCTGTCTGGTTGCAGCGTTGTCAGAGAAGTAGAAATTCGATTTTCATCTGAACAGAATTGAACTTTCGTTTTGCAAGAATTATTTTTAAAATTAGAACAAAATACATAACAACATGTGTTCAAATTGCTCACCTCCTAATTCTGAGCACAGTGCCACTCTCGTCCTAAGATTTGCTATGGCTCTTGACACATCCCTGCTTCTAATCTTGTTCCTGAGAGTGCTCACAATTCTATAACGAAGTTCATCAAGGTCGGCTGGCAATGTTTTGTAAATTTCATTTTTCATTGTTCCCCACAAAAAATAGTCCAAGGGAGACAGGTCAGGTGACCGCGCCGGCCAGCGTACGTCGCCATTATTAGCAATAACATGATTGGGGAACAATTCCGATAAGCATTCCCCAACCCTCCTAGCATTATGGGGCGGTGCGCCATCTTGCTGGAACCATATCGAGTTCAAACGATGAAGAGGAACGTTATTGTTAATAATATCGGTTAGAAATGTCCTCAGGAAATGGAGGTACCGATCAGCATTTAGAGTCCCTTAAGGACCAATTATTGTATCGCCCAATAAACCGACCCATACGTTAACGCTAAAACGTATTTGTGGTGGTCGTTCTTGAAATTGATGAGAATTTTCAATTGACCAGTAATGTTCATTGTCAAAATTTCAAGATTTTTACCGCTTGCAAAATTGTCTGCTCCTATTCATTGGGTCTATCACCATATTACTGTGTACATCTTTTAAAAGAACCATATTCGCCCAAGTTTTTATGCAGCAAAGAAAAATACCTCAAACTAGATTGTTGCCGCTCTGGATAACGCTGGAAGTATGTTGCAGCAGCCATGTGGGCATTTCGATGAGAAGTGTAGTAAATTTGGATCATATCTATTTAATCTGCACTTGAAAAAGGCATTTTCGCATACAACTAACATAAACCTAAATGGCACTACATGAAATAAGTCAACCTTTTGTTCAAAACAAAAGAACGCTTTCTTTTTCCAAAGCACTCTTCTCAAATAATTAAAAATTGTGTTTTTAGGAAAAATGTGATACTGAACCACCATGTGTGATATATCGTTGTAAAGAGAAAAAAAGACGTAATCTCAAAATGTGAAAATTCAAAATGGCGCCCATAAGAAAAACTTAAGGGGCCACGTGTTTCTCCGTCATCTGGAGAGTTATTAAAAACAGGATGCCATATTTGAAATCTCCATTAAAAAGTGTCCGAATAATGTGTTAATTAGAAATGTCTACTACGATTAGTTTATCATAAAATATTAAAAACGAAAATCAGAAATTTTCGTTTTTTTGCGATATCTTCAAAACTATTGGAGATATTTCAAATTTCTTTTTAGATTCTTATTCGGCACGGAAATTGGCAACTTTGCCCTCATTTAACCTTTCTAATCTATCTCTTAAGATAAGTGAGATCCCCATAGTGGCACTCGAAAAATGGACACCGTGTATATCTTCCATCGCCGTCTCCGCTATGGGATATGGCCTTATAAGTGACCTTTCTTATATCCTTAAGAACATCTATACTAATTTTCAAAGCGATTGGAAGTTTCTAAACAATGTTATCGTACACACGAGCAGACAGACACACAAGACAGGCAGACAGCAATACAAAATTATAAATGATCTCAGGAATCGTTAATAAAATAGCTGGGGAGAGGAGACCAACACTGAGAAGTGCTATTTTAGTCCTAATTCACATCCTTAATGTTTTTAAATTGAAGGCCAGGCGAGAGGCCAAGCTATTTATGTACAACTTAACACTTTAAATTTTTGACGAAACCGAATCTAGATCTATTGGAAAAAAAGCGTAATTGTTTTGGTCCCTTCTATAGTAGCTTATTTTCGAGCTCATTTTTTTTTAAATATTCATCAAGCCGCGCTGTCCAAAAAGCGTACGTTTGATTAGTTTAATTGCGGTTTTTGGTACTTTTCTTTCAGTTTTTGTTACTTCGTCTTCAACAGTCACAAGAGTTACAACTCCCGGAAACAAAAACACTAACACGCGTTAAGGAGCGACGTCTTACTGTTTTCACCATTTTTTGAATAGGTCTGTTTTGAAAAAAATCTCCAAAATCTTATATTACTCCAAGATGGTAAGCTCAGGGGTGCAAAAATTTCAATCTAGAAGAAATTAGATCTGGTAGTCTTTGAACATGAAACTAACGAATGCAAACTATTTTGAAACAAAAAAATTTCTTCTCAACAGCGCATGGTACAAAATGCGCCATTACCCTTCTGCATTATGTTCATTCTAAGAAGATGCATTATACAAATGGTTCCAAATCCTAGTACGACACGTAGTTACATATAATTACCCCAATTAATGTGATTACCCGGCGGCTAGTGCAAATTACACTCACGTTCTACCTTCTATGACAAGATAAAAATAATTAGTGTAATTACACAGTTGCAAAATATTCCCATTATTATAATTACTTAACCATAAAAGTGAAACAGTAATGCATCCTAATTTTTCTTGTCTGTATAATCATAGACCTGCCGTGTAGGTTGGTCGAAAAATTAATAGGTACACCATTCAAAACATTAGACAAACGTAGAGATTTCGTTTTTTACCGTATTTTTTTGCCAGTTCAAGAGGTTAATTTATTCCATATAAAGTCCAAGCATTTGTGGACATGGGCATTTACAAGATTATTTTCAATTTCGTCTTGTCGGCGGCCTCTTTTCGAATTAAGTTGAGAGAGAAACGCAATTGGTGTAGAAATGTGTGCGTGTTAACGCGTCGTCCTAAAGAAAATTTATTTCTGTTACAGTTTGGCTGTGAGGTCTATGGAAAGACCGCCTGAGTACCAAGAAGAGCCGCCACCAGGTCTAGAGGCCATGTGGGGGATGGAGGCTGGCGCCGAATGTGACTGTCCGGGACCACCTCCGGAGTTCCTCCTGCCGCCTCCCCCACGGCCACCTATCCTGCAGCCGGAAAATCCTCTTTACTGCTCGGAAGATCCGTTACCTATTGAAACTTGCGACGCTTTACCTGTAAGTATAATTAACAACACGCTGTTATTAATGCTCTTTATATTGCCGGGAACGGAGTGACAGGTGTTTGTGATGGGTATATTTTGCACTAAATACAAAAGGGATGAAAAGAGCGCGAGATTTGCAATACTGACGATGGTACATAAATGTGGCTATTAGTTCCGCTAATAACTTGAAGTGCAGTAGCACAGCTCGGGTCATAAAAACGTTTAACTTTAAAGAGGGACGATCAGGAAGTTTTGTCTGTAATGACATACTACCTACGAATATTTAACGACTTCATTTCTTTACGTCAGTTACGATTTATGAGTCTCTTGAAGTGGGTTGTCACGCTTAAATAAAGTAAAATAAATTTGTATCTATGAAGCACTTCCCTTCCGTGCACCTTTTTGTGTTAAGAAAAATTTCTTTGAGGACTCTACATAAAATTCTATTCACTCTTCTTTGGAGAATTTATCATACACTTGTTAGTACAGGCCATATAACTACCTGTCATCGACTGAAGAGAAAGAAACTACAAACAAGATTAAACTTGTTCTTACTTCATAACATCGAATTGGCTTCACTGCACATGGCTTCCGAATACCTTCAAGTTCTCCACAATATAATTGAAATCTATTACTAATCGTACTTTCCCCTTAATTTTGCATGAGTGTATAGGAGCAAGGTTCGAGTGATTAATTTGTAATCTTGCTCCGCTAATCATTCATTTAATAAAAAGTTTTCTATTGTAAACGATCCAAAGTCCTCTTAACTTTACCAAATTGATTTATTATTTATTAACGATCCCAACGAAATAACTTGATGTATAAAAATTGAATGTCATCTCAAAATCTGTGCACGAATTTAATTGGGAAAACAAGCTGGATTGCAAGAGGTAAATTTACCCATTCCAGTGTTTAATTTTCATAAATAAGCAAAAACAGACAAATCTTCCCTTCTTGATTACAGTATGTTTTACACAGTGGACCAAATTTATTTGGAACTCTTTTTCGCTTTTTTTTTGGTTTTGGTTGAAAAAAATTGAAACACTACTAATAAGGCATACTTGAGTTAACATTTCCGACTGCATCGAACAGCAAGATAGCATACGGTGCCAGCTCATGATGGAAGAATTCTTTAAGCGGATCGGATTTCTTGAGGGGTGCTATTCGGGGTAGTATGGATTCAGGGTTCACTGGATTTCAATTAGATTTGAATCCTTGTATAGTCATTATTTTTTTTGCCGACAAATTTGACTTTGTCAAAGGTTTGATTAACCAATTGAACTACTGAAGAACTGCCACTTTCAAAGGTGCTATGGTAGTTGAGAGTCATTTCCGATTACTCCTGTACATAACAAAATTAGTAACAGGGATCGGATCATAGGATTGAAATCACTCAATATAATCTTCTGCAAAGCCGAAACTTCTGGGCGTAGAAATTTGGTATGTCGGTTCCTAGGGGATTGTAAAGGAGCACTTTGATTATCTGAAAATTGCTTGCTTACAAAATTAAACGCCGAATGGCCATACAGTTTTATACATATTGAAAATTTTAAATAGTTGGTTCCAATTTGCATTTCTGCTACTAAATTTGTCTTATTGATAATTCCTAATATAAATTTCAAAATAACTAGGTCAAGTTCTTGGCCACGACTTACTATCAATTACCCTTAATTTGAATGTAAAGATAATACAAAATAAAGAACGATTTTTATGCACAATGAATTTTTTATGTCGTCTTCTTACACTTCATTACCGTCACTTAATCCCCTTTAAATAATAAGTTTATCAATTTTAAACTCGCGGAACTTGCTTACAAGTTACTTGAATGTTCTATGATAGAGTTTTCTTCACAGACGTTCGCCCACCAACCTGAGGCATTAGGACGCACTTTAGTCCTGTGGTATATATACGCTATTTTCTCGTTCAAAACGACGGCGTAGATATGATCGTTTAAAACAATGTGTACCGGTCACTTTTTGTCCCGCATAGCGTTAAGAGACACTTTAGTCCCTTAAATAATAATAATAATAATTACATACTATCCCTAGATTGCCAATGCACGTGTTTTTTATTTTTCTTTTCTTTTTTAAGGAGCCTACATAACACTGCACCAGACACAGACACAGATACAAATCGTTACTTGATTTTAATCCGTGCGATTAGTTAACCAGTCTAGACCTGAGTTCTCACAAGAAACACCGACCATAATAATAATCTTTATTCCAACCTAAATACAAAACTGAAAACTCAACAAAAAATTAAAAATTATATAAAGTATGAATTAAGGCAGTGCGAAAATAAACGAAAACTTAGCTTAAAGATAATGTACTAGGTGAAATAATACTACACCAGTAAGAGTAATGAGAATAAAATTACTCTGAACACTGGGAGGAAAAGCAAATCCAAGATCATGATACAAACGCCATACACACGTACAGAAATCTAAATAGAGATCAACAGATAACAGATAACTATTTAAATTTAATGAACATATTTTCAGCTAAATAAAATGTACGCAACATATCGCTAGTGAAGCATTGGTGGAAATGAAGATGTATAATATAAACCAAGCAACTGTAAAATTAACTTAAAATAAGATACATGTTTTCCAACTCAGTAGTCGTTTTAGTAAATAAAAATTCCTTAGCTCCTTTCTTAAACACCCGAACCGATAGTTCAAATATACTTTGAGAGTAATGGTTAAAAAAATAATTACAAAATTTTGGACCGAGGAACAAGAATGTTTTTTGAAAAAACGATTTAGTGACTTTAGGTAGACGCAGCAGTTTCTTAGAATATTGTCGAGTATTGTGAATTCCCGTCCCCAGATCAACTGTTATTCCAAAGCTACTACTCATCTGATAAAATAGATCAAGAACTTTGAATACATATAGATAACGAAGGGGAAGCACACGAAGAGAAAGAAATAAGGGAAAGGAAGAAAAATACCTGCTTTTACCGTAAATCAACCTTATGTAACGTTTCTGTAGTGTTTGAATACATCTAAGATAGGAGATATACGTACCACCCCAAAAGGCTATGCCATAAGATAATTTAGAGTGAACAAGCGCAAAATATACTTGCTTCAGTATTGCTACGTCACAAACAGATTTTAAATGGTAAAATGTCCTGAGTGAGATTAGTAAAAGTTGTTTTATCCTCTGTATATGACTTTTCCATGTTAATTCACTATCAAGGCAAACACCTAAGTATTTAATAGATTTTGTTTCTTTTAGTCTAGGACAGTGACACTTAGTACTACTTAAGCAAGATATATCATGAAAGATAAGTGGGTTAAGAAAATTTGCACTGTTGTCAATCCCAAAATTAATAACCATTGTTTTCTCGGTGTTTAGAGATAACCGATTGTATGTAAACCACAATTGGAGCTTCCTAACATCCGATTGAATTGTTTTATGCAGTTCTTCGATATTATTATTTGAGTATACAAAAGCAGTATCATCCGCAAAAGCTGTAACAGAACCTTCGAGTTTACCAGAGAGAAGGTCGTTAGCAAAGATCAGAAATAGGATCGGGCCCAGGACAGAGCCTTGAGGCACCCCCACTTTAATCAAATGCTCAGAACTATTCGATTGTCCGATTTTAACGTATTGCTTCCTGTTTGATAAATAGCTGCGAAACCATTGCAGTGGAATGCCCCTAATCCCAATCCGTTCAAGTTTCTCTAACAAGAGTGTTTGATCTACGGTGTCAAATGCTTTGCGAATGTCGAGGAAAACTCCAGTGACACTATGCCCAAGGTTTAGGTTTTCATAGATTTCTTTCAAGAAATTACAGAGTGCCATTTCTGTGTTACGACCTTTCCTAAAACCAAATTGCGCCCTATGTAGAAAATTAGTCATAGATAAGAAAGTTAAAAGTCGTTTCTTAACTACTTTCTCAAGAATTTTAGAGAGAGTGCTCAACAAAGAAATGGGTCTGTAATTCTCAACGTTTGTGGGATTACCTGATTTAAATATTGGTATTACAGTCGCAATTTTCAGTGCATCTGGAAAGACACCTTGTAGAATACTTTTATTAAATAACTCGGCTAAGACATGAGAGATTTCGGGAATTATCTTCTTCATGGTACAAGGAGAAACCCCTAACAAGTCAATGGAACTCTTAGAAGAAAGGGACATTGTCACTTCTACTATTTCATCAGAAGTAACAGGAGCAAAGAACAAAGAAACGGTAGAACACTGTAATTTAAATGTTTGGTTATAGTCGTTAAGTAGTTGAGGACTTAGTGCAGCTACCTTCTTAATGACATTACTAGGCACTGCAGCGAAATGATCATTGAAAGCTTGCGCCACTTCATGAGATTCATCGATAGTCAAATTATTAATACACAGTTTAAGATCCTTAATCTTTAGTTTAGAACTACCAGTGTATGAGTTGATGGTATGCCATATTTTTTTTGGATTATTAGAACTTATGATAGAAGAATCACAAAACACTTTGATTTAGTCCACGGAGTACAAAAAAACAAAAAAGACATAAAGTGGGCTACTCGGTGGGCTATCACTCCAAAGAGATTTTTATGAGCAACATAATTATGACATATGTTGTATCTTTAGAGATTTCTTATCAACCAAATTCAAAAAACTCTATATACACGGGGGTACTATATGAACTTCTGTGGTACAAAACGCATGCTTACTTTCCGTCCTTATAACTCTGCATGGGTTTATTTACAGCGAAATTGTAAATTAGATAAATTTCTTTTGCGAAAGATGCTCTACTTTAGTCAATCTACTGTAAGGTGTTAATCATCGGCTTAGGTTGGTAAATTGTACTTTTTGTGGCCTATGGTCACACTTGTTTCTTTTACTACCAATTCTGAAATACCCGTGGTTGGTTGCCGAAGCGCAACAGAACATATCAAAGATCAAATACATACCACAAAACCGTTTTTTATCATAAAGCGTACGCGTTTCAATAACCTTCGGCAAAGAACTTAATGTACCTAATTAACAAAAACTGGTTTGCAGTACAGTCGAAGTGCGATGA